CATTATTATCATAGAAATTAATACTGTCTGTAATAATGTAACTAATTAAATGTTAATCAAAAAGACAAATTGATTAACTATGTATAAATACATATATCTAAAATTGTTCAGCATACAAAGACTACATATTACAGTCTCACCCCTATATACCACAAACTTTTTTTAAATAGTTTGGAAAGTTTTTATCAAGCTTTGAGAAGTGATAATTTTGTAAAAAGTTACGTGCATATAAAACAATTTAAAAATAAAAAAAGTGCCCGTAAAATTATTAAGAGATTGAGGGTAACTATTAATGTTTCAGCAGTGATAATTACATAAAAAGATACGTAGAATCTCATGGTGACAACGGTTTTCGAATGCGGTGTCAAATAATTAGTTTCTGGCATTATTTTTGCTAAAAAATACGAAATGACTAAAATATAAAAAAGCGCTCGTGAGATTAGTAGGAGATGAAGGGTATTTATTAATGGCTGAAAAGTGATTAGTATATAAAAGAGTACGTAGAATCTCATGGTGTCAACGGTTTTCAAGTGAGTTGTCAAATAAGTACTTTTTGGCATTCCCTTTGGTAAAATATATAAAACAATTCAAACATAAAAAAGCGCTCGAAAGATTATTAGGAGAGGGAGGATATTTATTAGGGTTTGAGAACTGAAAATTATGTTGAGAAGCAACAATTTTGTAAAAAAGTACGTAGAATCTCATGGTGTAAACGGTTTTTGAGTGCGTTGCCAAATAGTTACATTCCGGAACTACTTTTGCTAATTTTTAATAAAATATACAAAATAATTGAAACATGAAAAAGCGCTCCTCAAATTATTAGGAGACGGAAGGCATTAACTAAGTTTTTAGAAGGAACAATTATGTAAAAAAGGTACGTAGAATCTCATGGTGCTAGTGATTTTTGAGTGCGTTGCCAAATAGTTACATTCCGGAACTACTTTTGCTAATTTTTAATAAAATGTACAAAATAATTGAAACATGAAAAAGCGCTCGTCAAATTATTAGGAAACGGAAGGCATTAACTAAGTTTTGAGAAGGAACAATTATGTAAAAAAGTACGTAGAATCTCATGGTGCAAACGGTTTTTGAGTGCGTTGCCAAATAGTTACATTCCGGAACCACATTTGCTAATTTTCAATAAAATATACAAAATAATTGAAACATTAAAAAGCGCTCGTCAAATTACCAGGAGACGGAAGGCATTTACTAAGTTTTGAGAAGCAACAATTATGTAAAAAAGTACGTAGAATCTTATGGTGTAAACGGTTTTTGAGTGCGTTGCCAAATAGTTACATTCCGGAACCACTTTCGCTAATATAATATATATAAAATAAATTATGAGTGCTGTAATTTCATATGTTGAAGTGTACGATGTGTTGCATACCTATTTACAAACAATTCCTTTAAATTTTAATCATTGGTTACTATACATCTATTAAAAAACCATAATGGCCGACATCAGTGACAATGCAACAACAATTGAATAAGAATGATGGCCGACACAGCAACAATTAGAAAAGAATGAT